CCTAATATTCTTGCAAATAAAACCAACCTATTCATGTCAACACTATCACTATTTTTTTATTCATTAGCAGGTAGCTAGGAAAGCTTTTGTTCAATAGACTGTTCATTAAAAAGAAGTGATTCAATTCTAGTGTGTGCAAGTGTTTTTTAAAAGCTCTTTGGGAGCTGCAGATCTGGAGAGAAAGAAGAAAGAATTTGACAGCAAGGAAAAAAGTGGGAAGCAGTTGCTAAGAGACGGAGAGAGATGGGTGATATTTTGCACCGACAGCAGTGCTAACATGACATTGACTATGTTACATTTCAAAATAATGTGGTTGCATTTAAAAGCCAGAGGAATACCCAGTCATCAGGGCGCGTGTTGGATACAGCCTGTAACGTGTAGAGAGCTACCCTTTTCTGCCGTGTCTGTGGCACTGTAATGGGAATCTGTCCTTTAAAAATGCGTATTATGGCATGTTCTGATAGATCTGGTGACATCTGATTAGTCTTACTTTATGAAACATTATTTAGTAAAGCTTTATGTCATGTCCGAGAAAATAGAAATACATTGAAAGACTATATGAAATTATAGTATTATGTTATTTCGTAAGTGATAAACACAATCTCACTAAGATAATGCTTACTTCTGTGAACTATATTACTCAGTTACTGTCTTTGACTTCCAGAAAAGAGAAAATGATGTAATATTCTAATCATTAATTTGTATTCATCATATGAAAAAAACCCAAATTATCAGATAAAAATAGTTTGCATTTGTTTCTGTTCCTTTGTCTCTAACAAGATAATTACCAGGAACAGCAGCCTTTCCTGCATCTCTCAGAAATGAGGATGGTTCTGTACATTTTGTTTGATGTAACAGAAATTTGAAAAGGGATTCCAATACAAAATTCTTTGCAGTATATTTGTTTATTGCTTTTCAGAGGCTTCGGCTGTTGCCCCATATTTAGAGCCAAAGGTTATTCAATATGAACTTACAAAGTTCATGAAAACATTTACATACGTTACTATGGCATTTGTAGCCTGTATTCTTTCCTGGAATGTGAATGACCAAACCTAAAACTTTATTCAGCTTTTGTGTTCTTCTTCAAGTTTATTTTGAAATGAATTGAAGACTGAGAAAGAAATTTAAAGTGGGAAATAAAGTTACAGTTTCTGGGCTGTAAATGAGAGCAGATTTGTCCAGATCAGAGTGCAGATGTAGCACTTTTCCTTTTTTCCACTGGTAGAATCAAAGATTTCCCTCAATTTTAACAGCCGCTATGTATGTGGTTGAATATGAAGAATTAGTTGCAACTTTTCCTATGTCACCATGGCAAATGTGAATCTGAATTAGTTGTTCACTGGTCAGATGAAAGGAAAAAAGGTCTTCCATGCCAAGGCTGAGTTGCTTTCAGTTCCTTGTGCAACTCTTAAATTCAGAGAACAAAGAAGGGCCATCAGACTGCAATTTTGGTTAGGTCATTATAAAAACGACAGTGCATTAACTGTGTACATACAAGGGAGGCAAGGCAAGGCAAGGCAACACAAAGCAAAGGAAACAATTTCCAACTGCTAATCTGTGTCACACTGATACTGTTCCATGTTGTTACTGACAATGGGACAAGAATGAAAAGAATTGGATTTTAATATAATAGCTTGATATTCAGAGTAAAGACATTCATTCTCTACCTATTTTTTCTGAAGTGCCACGTAAAAAATGTGTCTCCTAAATTTTCTTCAAAACAAATGCCTATTATTTCCAGGTAGTGTTGTTTTCAGGCTTTAAAATATCCACAGGATTCAATTCTACAGTACCACAGTGTATAAAGGTCATGAATGATTTTTCAGATTCCAATTCCTTGTGTAGCTGTGACCTCCTCAGTAATGTGGCCTAGTTGGTTTGCAAATTCTAACACCATTCAAAGTTAATGCCAGTGTTAGACATCTTATATTTTTAAAACATGTATTCTCATTTATAAAAAATTTAGGCTTGAATACGAGGAGGTTTCAGAAAACTTAAAGTAAAATTGCCAACTTGTGGCATTTAATTTCAACTATTGACAACTACCGTCTTGTGAATTTTCTCTCAATCATCTTGTCCCTCAGCAGTGCTTACAGCCAAGAGGACTGAGGCCAGGAAGATGACTGTCATTTTTCTATATATTTTTTACATCTAGGTTGAGCTTTCCGTTAAGAAATTGTTGTCTTTGTAGAAATTGAAATCAGGCCTCTCAAGGCAGGACTACACCCCTAATAATAGTGGAGAACTAGTGAAAGGCAGAAATGGTAGTGGGAAGAGAAGCAAGATACAGAAAGAGAGTTTTGGGATCCACAGAGGAATCAGAGCCTCTGGGAAGGCAGAGAGTATGGTAGGAGTAGGGAGAGAAGAGAGATGCCAGTACCAGATAGTGGACTCATACTGCCTTGTTCTTCTTCTCCATCTGGATAGGGAAACAGCTCATTGAGCAGCCCTTGGAAATTGGTAGAACTGGTGAAATAATGCTGGTTTTTAAGCAGAATATGATTTAAAAATAGGAAAAAGGAAAGGTGAATGAAGAAATACTTTTTCAGCTATTTAAACAATTACAGTTTTTCAACTATAGCCAGAATAATTGATGTTATACGTTTGATGTGAAATATTTTTATGAAAATTACAATTAGATAGAAATTATGAATAAATAAAAATTAGAAAATATAATATTTCAAATTAATTTCACATATTTTACATGTGTTAGAATTGAATACTAAAAAATTTATGTAACATGACTGTGATGATAGCTTATGTACTACCATAAACCTGAAGCTTTAGGAGTATGTTTGCCAGAAATTATGTAGCTCATTTTGGAAAGCAAGCTTAATGATTAAAGGGTTTTACATACATCTTTGATGAAAAATAGTAAAAAAAATGTAATAAATAGGAAAAACATTTTGGGTTCTGTTGCATATTCTCCCTGTATGCTGTTGTTCTGGTATAAGAAAACAGTTGAAACATTTGTGAAAGCCTGTAGTATTTTCGCTTTTATCACTGCCCCTCAGAGGTGGCTCAGTCACTGCCACTTCAAGATGGCTTCAACTTCACTCGCATCAGGTGAGGAACAGGCAGAGTCAGCTACTGCAGCTCAGCTATTGATTAGTCATACCCAATTTAAGATACAATATGCATCTTTGGGAATGTTAACAGTTGATTTTTTTTTTTCAGTCTTACAGTCCTGAAGGAATAGAGGGAAATTAATAAATCAAAAATTGGACTATAAAATTGAGGATTCTTTCTAGTTTGGGGGATTTCTTATACCTTAACACTCTTCAGCTCACTTTTCTTTTGCTCCTTTGAGCACCTCTCACTCATGATTTATGTTCTGTTAAGGCTAGCAACATTGTTTAGTGTATAGTAAAACTATGGTCACCTGAGAGTATTCAAATAATTTATACGAATACATAAAATGCATTTTAAAATTTTGTTTCTTTTAATAGAGCTGAAGTATATAAAGAGGACCAAAACCTCAAAGTACTGCACAAGCAACTAGATTTGCATTTGTTAGAAAGGCTGAATAGTTTTATTTTTTAGTGTTCATTTCCTGAATATGTATTTGATCTTTAGATTTAGTTAGTTTTAAAGTTTACTTGGGACGAAATTAGTGTATATGCTGCTATAGTTTTGCAAATAAGTAATTTTCATCTATTAAACTCTAAGCCAATCTTGGGATATACTGAATCTATTTGCAAAATTTCACTTCTATCAGTAGTAATGGAAAACAAAGTATGTAAGAAAAGGTAATATTTATTAGATGAAGAGATATCACTGGGAAAAGTATGAAAGCATTAGGGCATACGCATCCTGTTCAGGGGTGTCTTGTATTTGTCAAGGATCTAAAAACAATTTTACATACGTGAAAATGTACAATGTTTCATTGTACATTAAAGATTGATTTTTGTTTTGCTTTGTTTTCCAACTGCATCTGTTGGTCCAATAGAATAGGCTAACTTTCCCT